TGCCCAGCAGTGGCTCGTACTTGGTCATCACGCCGAACTGATTAACAAGAGTTGGTTAGTAGAAAGGAAAAGGAGGAAAGGAAGTGAGGAAAGGAGATGGGTTAGGTCAGAGCACAGAGAGCACAGAAAACATTGAAAAGGAAAGAAGACACAGAAACATGTAAACATACCAGCTTGATGATCTTGATGAGCATCCAGTTGTTGGTGGAGCTGGTCATCAGCTTGAAGAAGACGGGCGCCAGGGGCAGGTAGTTCTTGGGGTTCTTCCGGGCGAGCTCACAGATCACATTGACCGCCGCCGACTGGACGCCCGGGTCGGGGTCCTCCAGCTTCTCCTTCAGGCGGGGAAAGGCGGGCTTCAAGGCATCGGGAAACTTCAGGAAGATCTTGTACATGAGGAGGACGGCCTTCTTCCGCAGGTAGGGCTTCGTCGAGTTGAGCAGCGTCAGGACGTCGTTGGCCAGGTCGCGGCTGATGTCGGTGGTGACGAAGCAGGCGAGGCCGCTCATGGCGCAGCCCGCGTCGTACATGTTCTGCGAGTTCAGGTCCTGGTGGGGTGAAATAGAACAGAATAGAAGTTAGATTATTTGGTCAGATTATTGGCTAAAGTGAGGAGTTTCGAACCTTTCGAATCATGTTGGTGGTGAGCATCATCACCTCGGTGTTCTCGTGGAAGCACTGCGAGGCGGCGAGATAGCCGATGCGCTTGTGCGAAAACTTGGTCGAGCTCATCACCTCGATGATGTTGAAGGAGGACCAGCTGATGTCGTAGCCCAGCATTTGAAGCTGGAAATGGAAAAGGTGTGAGAAAATAAGTGTAAACAAACAGCAAAGAAGTACTCACATATGTCAACTTGGAGATGGCGTTCGCCTTCACGAAGAGACTGTCGTGCCGGAGCTCCTCTTTGATCTCCTCCACACACTGCGCAATGTACTTTGCCTGGACGGAAAAGAATGAGATGGTAAACAAAGCAACACCCAAACAGTAGACTTACCTCATTCTCCTTGTTATTGCGTATGCCCCGCACCAGATCGGTGAGCGTCTTGTCGAAGATGCGATTAAAGTCGCCCTTCACCTTGCGAAGGCTCATCTTGTTGTTCATCATCACCGCTGTTTCATGAGATGGGAATGTTGTGACTGAAAATCAACGGAGTGCTGGTGCTTTGACAGATGAGGGTGAAAAGANCGCCCTTCACCTTGCGAAGGCTCATCTTGTTGTTCATCATCACCGCTGTTTCATGAGATGGGAATGTTGTGACTGAAAATCAACGGAGTGCTGGTGCTTTGACAGATGAGGGTGAAAAGATGATGAAGAAGGTGGTGATGGTGGTGAACTGTGGCCAATGGTGAACTGAACTGAACTGTGATGATCTCAGCAATGATCACTGGACACGAAGAAAATCAGAGGATCACTTTGTCACTTGTGTGTGTGTGTGTTTCTTCGCACACTGTGCGCGAGCCGAGCCGACAGGCGACGAGCTAGGCGTTGATGATGATAACTT